AGACTGGAGTACAAAGGCAATAGCACATGGAAAAGATGACAGTAAACTTTTAAACATAATTTTTCCATCCTTGAAGGAGATGCAGAACCTGGAAGATGTCAAATTCAGAAGGCTTTATCAGATCTTTTTCAGACAGCAGTTAGCCTGCAAGTTTGCTTCTGCAGAGAATCCAGACTTCCTCAACTTACTTCTCTTTAGCACACAGAACTACTGGTGATACTCAATACAAAAATATTTTTAAATAAATAGTACGGGCTGTAGTTCTTGATGCTTTTGCCTCTCTCTAAGCATGTGCTACTACTGGATACCGGAAGTAAATATCCTTTATGGACACACTAACTGAGAACATACACATTTTTTTTCTATCCTTCTTGGAAGCATGCAACTCAAATCAAACTAGGGCACTGTGAAAGGTAAACTATCTGTTCCAGTTCTGTAGTTCTGAAATGGCCTATATTGCATGTAATCCTCCATATGAACCCTTTCCTCTAGCCAAATAATTTTGCACCATTGTCCTTTTAATCCTCTACTCTGGATATTAACAACAGGATTTATTGTTGAGACTATTACAGTTAATTGCCAAGGTTCAGCTGAAGAGACTTTTTTTAACATCTGTAGTTCATCTAAGACCAGCACCATACCACACAGTTTCTTCCAACTACACCACACAGAATCACAGAATGTTACAAGCTGGAAGGGACCTCAAAAGGTCATCTAGTCCAACCCCCCTGCCAGCTCAGGATCACCTGGAGTAGGTCACACAGGAACATGTCCAGGTGGGTTTTGCACGTCTCCAGAGACTCCAACACTGAAGCTTAGCAAGTGACCATTCTCTTTGCCAAAACCTCCGATCTCATTTCTATGAGACCTGAAACACAATGCAACAGAAACAGAATGCAAGAGTTTTTAAAACCATTCTGGAATGTAATCTGTCCATAGTGCCCCTGTTTCAAACAGCAGAAGCCCTACCAGTGTTGAGTTTCTGGCTCTTTTATGTCTTAGTAACATCAGCATTCATCTCTGCAGTTGTTTCAGGAAAAGTCCGTAATGCTTCCTCACAGCCAAATGATCTATTTTTTCCCAACGAAATCTCTCTCTTGCTACAGCTTCTTAACAACCACTTCTGACCCCTTCACAGTCTTATGGATAAATTATTAGTACTTTTATTACTTTAATCAAAATTAGTACTGGTAGTTTTCTCCCATTCCAAATTCTCTCTGCTGGCTCCACTTCCCATCTCAGAAACTCAGTTCAAGTGACTGTGGCACCTGTGCTTGCAAACTCTAAGAGTGCATAATTTCTAGTCATTCCTTATGGCATTCTGTCAAAGCAAGAAACAAGCCAGCCAGCTAAAATTTTAGTTCTAATTATTAACCAACTGAAAGAAATATCAGACACTCTGCAACAAAGGAAAGGATGAAAATAAGTCAGGTGTGGTAGTTGCAATAATAAAGTTACTAAAGTTAAAAAATTAAACACAGTTCATTTTTTCTTATTTAATAAATAATATAAAAAAGTGAACCTTTTTTTTTACATTATTGGAAAAAACAATTTCTTATCTAACTCCAGCAATAATACAAGCAATAATGAAACCAATTTTGATTTTTGGGTGGACATTCCATATCCCATTTAAGTGGAGTCCAGTGCACAGCCTCAAAACCACTGATGACTCTTCCACTCCTGGGGTTGGTTGTCTTTTGTGTTGTTCTGGTTCCACAGATGACCTCGCTGTTCATTTGCAAAAAAGAAAATAATAAAAAAAATCATATCCCTTGGTTAACATTGAAAAAAATCCACAGAAACATGGCAAGTTTCAACACCTGATCAAATCATAACTACTTTTATATCATACAGATGTTCAACAGGTTTGTCACATCAACAGTAACATGGCATTTTATCTTTAGCCTTGTAGGTAAAAAAATGAAACCCGATAGCATATGCACATACACACACACAGAGTACACTTGACAAAAACACTTTTATGTGGTTTACATTTCACTTTATTTAATCCTCAAAACTGCCCATATTGCAGGGTTTTTCTTGATGAAATATGGAACTGAGCAATTAATTCTACAAAATTATGGTAAAAACTTGCTCATTTTTCTACCTTATTGCTAAGAAACTTTACAGGTGCACAGTTTGTAAAAATAACCCTTTTAAGACTGAATGCATACACATGCCACAGGATTTTTAAAAAAATGATGTTAGCATAGCACCTCCAGATGGGGCAAATGCAGAGCTGAACACAGACAGAATGCTCACAGAGTTAGAACCGCTCATATATTTTACAGCTTCTAAAGGGAAGAAATTGTTCAGTCCTAAAAGGGTTAAAGTAGAAACCCTAATATACTTCTTTTTCTAAGAAAGCTGCCACTCAATCCCACAGTACAGTGCTTGAAAACAAAGTCAAAAGTCTGGCACAGGGAAGTATACACATTTGTTCAGTACTCAAACACAGCTGCTTTTGAAACAAAGTCAATAACACGGTTAATAATCGAAGAGCATCTTAGTTTCAAGATGGACACCTCTACGGAGTCATTTAATCTGCAAGTGGGGAGCTTACTTCCAACAGATAATTTATTTTCACTTGGCATTAACGTTTTGTATGTAGAGAATTCACTGTTTTACATCCTGAGTTCAGGTAACCATTCTGATCTTGTGCAATGAAAAGTAGAACAGAACACCATTATTAACACAGTTGTGGGATGCCCTCGAGGCAAATAATTAGGAAAAACTTCAGCAGCAGATTATTAAAGACTACACTAGTGTTGAATTCAGAAATGCTGTTCCAAACAAAAGAAAACAAGAAAAGGCATAGCTAACTTTGAGCACTTAATTTGCCGTTTTCTTCCTATAGTTGGAACTACAACATTCTGAACACAGACTCAGTTTCTATGAATACAGAATTAACAGCAGACTTAACAGCTAGACTTGAACAGTTATAAGAGTTTCATACTGAAACGTTCTAAAAGTAGTTTTATCAAAAAAATCTCGAGATATTGTTAATATCATGAAAATCGATTAACAGCTCACAAGGCCAATAAATGTAGCAATATCACCCCACAGGAAACAGTTCAGGAAGATAATATATCTGAACAACTGGACATCTTCACAACAGTAAGGACCTGGAAGACCATTTCTGTACTACAGAGTAACTACTGGCAACAACGGAGCCACAAGCCCAAGGGAAAAACGGGGTTTAAAATGGTCTTGTAAGCAGAACTTAATAGTCTATCTTTTTTTCACCCACTTGGCTGTAGTGTGTTTAACAGCAGAAATCAGGCTAAGTCATCAGGTTCTTTACAAGTCAAGGAATATTATAACTATTGGGCAAAATTACTGCAAGTAAAGAAACTGAATATAAAAAGTATTGCATTTATATGTAAAAATTTTAAAATAATGAGTACAAAAGCACATGTCAAGTTCTGAAAAGCTATTTTAAATAGTCTTTGAAGGTTAAAAGGCTTGTTATGGTTTGCCTACTGTGTGTCTTATTACAGTTTGTTCTTGAATACCGTCTAAATCTGATATATATATTGCTTATTTTAATTCTCACTCTAATTAGTGATGAAAATCTGTGGCTCTTGAATTAAGCCATACTCTAAGAGACTTATGTGCTTCTAAAAAAACATTGTGAAATGATTCCTGCCATGACACAACAAAAACGAAATTTTGTAGCGCATACAAAGGTAAACAGATTTGCAAGTAAATGCCAGTAAACAGTTTAAAACAGAGATAAGGCCACAACGAATTCTGCCCTTGGTCACTGAAACGGAGATGAGGTGAGGCAGTATTCACTAGTGCTAAGAACCAGCATCGCAACTGAGTCACGGGAATAAGTTTTGTATCACAGAACAGCAAATACAAAGGCCTGTAGTAGAATACAAGCACGTTTTAGGACAGTGGCACCGATTTGAACGTTAGCTAAATACGCTCTATAACCAATTTCTTCCTGTAACCACATCGTTTTCACATGCACAGTGGAGCACTGAAGCGAACAAGTAGAATGGAGCGTCGGAGTACACAAACACGGTGCAGGGCCAATGCTTTAAAACAGTGTCAGGTGTTGAAACTGGAACAAGTGGTCAGAAATAAAAACCCTATGAAAATGGTCAACAGGTAAGCTTGTAAGCGACGCGTTTCAGGAAGCCACAGGTTCAGATTTACACAGTAGTTGTGACTCTTGCTTCAGGGTGCAGAAAAGGCTGAGCACACCATAAAATTCATATTTTGGCTTTTAAAGAGGAAGATCGCGCTATCAGAACTTGTCCTACGAGTCTATGCCTAGTTCTGCAACTACAAATGAGCTACTGGGGTATAGTTTCAAATACAAATGAAGCAGGCAGGTCTATATGGAAGGACAAAACATGGCAAAGTCAAAATGAAAAACAAATGCAACAACCAACAAAGTCAAAGTGCAAATGAGCCTTGAGTTTATGATGGAGAGAAGACTTGAATGCTGCACAAGCTGTTGGCAGTGAAAGAGAAACCCACAGGAAATAAGGATGGGAAGAGTTGACAATCTTCATAGTGCTTTTACGATTTTCTATTTGCCTGTTTCTAAGTAATAAAATTTACTTCTAGTTATTATGGTATGATCACTTCACAATGAAAGCACGTTCTCAATACGAGTGTTACACGAAAGCCTGGCCTAATTTACTGAACAGTATGAAGAACAACACGCTCGTTGTGATTCTCAGGTGATGAAGGGCATCACCTATCAATCCCATTTGTAGCACATACCTCTCATGGTATTTTAGTTACATGCCAACAAGACAGAAGACATGCTGCCAAATGAAGTTATTGGGAACATTCCACTTTTGAAATAAAACATTTAACTTACACTTAATACAACTTATGTACAAGATTAGAAAAACCTGAACAGATCCTGAAACATTTTCAGATGCAAAATGACTGAGCAAGGAAGAGGGGGAGTAACCCAGTAACAACCCTTCAAAAACACCAACGTATGCCTGTGACATGAACAATCATTAATATGACTGCTTGAGATGCCACTTTAAAAAAAAACTCATGTAATGTTAGAACCTCATGAATTATCACTATAAATACATATTTAAAAAAGGAAAACAAATAACTATTAACAATGACTGAAAACAGAGCACTAAAGTTAACATACATTGCATGTATTGCAGGCAAGGCAGAGGCATTTTTTAAAGCTTTTGCACAGACTTCATATAATCTTAAAAAAAATATGCTGGCCTTTACAAGGTTCTACTTGCTGAAATAAAAACAATTTCAGTTCATAAAAAGTCACAAGACTTCAGTTTAAAAAAAGGAACAGTTCCAGCCACAGACCAAAAATATATATATTTTCTTAAAACTGGAAGAGTATGGTAATTAGATTATACAAGCATGGTCAGGCTTGGAACCTGAATATACTTCAGAGCAAAAGCTCAGAGGAAAAAAAAATATAAACTATTTGGTAACAAAAGTGTACTATATGTTGTGATACAAAAAAGGTATGGTGAAAATGTACCTTTTATACTAAAGCTTATACAAGTTCCTTGGTCCATAAAAACTATGTCGTGTTCATGTTTTCTAGTTTGCTCAACATATATCCCAGCCACATTTTTTTGTTTCTTGCCCATTAAAAAAAAAACAGCTGAAAAATAGATTTTCAATAAAGTTCTTATGTTTTGGATGCTTTTGTTTTTTTTTGTTTTTGTTTTTTTATTGTGGCTTCTATATTTAAGATCAGCACTTGCAGGTAACAAGGTTCAAATAATATCACCTAAAATGGAAAGGTGTTTTCCCATGAAACCACAAAAATTGTTCAGTTCTCTTGAATGTAGCACTTAAAAGTCAGTTAAAGTCCAGCCAAAACAACAGTAGTTAGGAAACTACAGTTGCTGTAGACGATGTGACGTTGGTTGGATTTGTGCTGACGTTTGTGTAACTTCCCTCGCTGTTTGTATTTGTTTCACTGGAAGCCATGAGGCTTGAGTTGGCTCTAAGGATTGCTCCAGCAGCACTGCAGTGTGGCCGTGGCCCTGGTTCCGGTGTGTATGTAAAGGTAAGGCTGGTGGAGTAAATTATGCCATCGTTACGGACCAAAGTTACTGGAACCTGGACTGGCTGACGGACCCACCTCCAACCCTCTCGAAATGCAGAAATGTCTGGAACAACACATAGCATGCTCTCTGCACATCTGAAAAACAGGAGAGTCAACTGAGCATATAAAACTTAAGCTTAAAGAATAGAACAGAAGAGGACAGTTGGAAGGGGCCAATGACCTGACCAATTCAGAGGTGACCAAAAGATAAGGCACATTATGAAGGCCATTGTTCAAATGTCTCTTAAACACTAACAAGCTTGGGGCCTGCTCGACCACACTCTCAGTAAAGAAATGCTTCCTAAAGTCCTGTCTGAACCTCCCCTGGTGCAGCTTTGAACCATTCCCACGTGTCCCTGTCCCTATCCCAAGACAGCAGGGAGAAGAGCTCAGCCCCTCCCTCTCCCCTTTCCCTCCTCAGGGGGCTGCAGAGAGCAGTGAGGTCGCTCCCTAGCGACCTCCTTTTCTCCAGTCTAGACAAGCCCAAAGTCTTCAGCCCCTCCTCACAGGACATGCCTTTCAGCCCTTCCACCAGATTTGTTGCCCTCCTTTGCACACATTCAGGGATCTTCACATTATTCTTCAATTCCAGGGCCCAGCACTGCACACAGAGCTCCAGGTGAGGCTGCACCAACACTGAATACAGCAGGACAGTCACCTCTTTTGGCCGGCTCATCCATGCTGTGTTTGATACTCCCCAGCCTGGGGTTTGCCCTCTGGGCTATCAGGGCACACAGCTGACTCCTACTGAGCTGCTCCTGACCAGCACTCCCGGATCCCTTTTTGCAGGAAGTATACACTTGAGTACCAACTTGAAAAACATAATCATCCTGTAAGTAGTAGGAAATACTGCACCTGTACATGGTTTCAGCTTCCACATCCCCAAACCAGACACGTAAATTCGGAGTGAAGTTCTGCCCTGTAAGTTCCAACATTGCTACATCTCCACCACCATTCAACTAGAAAGGGAGTGAACAGAATAAAAGAAGAAAATCCACAAAAAAATATATATTAACAAAAACAAATATGCTCCTCAGAAAAAAATTCTTTAAATGCATACAAGAACTGTAAACAGTGCTGTTTCTATCAGCTAGATAAAACTGAAAGAAACACCTACGCAACAAAACTACAAAGAAGTAACACATCTAAAAGATATTGCCAATTAATTTTATATTCTGAGAGAACTTGCAAGTTTTGATAGTGGACACTTAGAATAGAAGTCAATAAGGCTTTGAAAGCAAGGAACAAAGAATCTTATTAGGAACATATTAGAACTTTCGAGTTTTTCCATAGCAGAATGCTGATTTTCTTAAGAAGGTTGCAGTCTGACTTTCTCTGATCTATAACTGACTGTTCTAACAGCCAAAACCAGTTTCTAAATAATCAAATAGAAGTCCTAAAGCTATCACGACCATAGTATTTTAATAAATAACATTCTTAATGTATAGAACAATATTAATATTATTCCTGTGATGTATATGCTCATGTATTCTGAAACATAGGTAGGAAAAATTACTGCAACATAAAGTAATGTTACAATTCATACAGCTAGTAAGAGTGTTTTCTTACAGTACAAAGGTACCATGGAGGTTAAATCAGCATGACATAAATAACCTCACATAAATGGGTTTATTTAAAACAAAAAAACCCCAACAAACTTACTTGAAGACTTTCTACAACAGGCACAGGTGTCACTGGAGCATGGACCGGTCCCATCCCCTCATAAAATGTGTATTCTGCTTTATCTGTGCTAATGATTGTCCAAGAAGCTCCGTCATTAATCATTTCTTTATTTGGTTCTTTCGGGCATGGAGTGGCCTGGACAGAAAGAACAGTCTGACTTCTACACTCATTCACCAAGTCACAGAGTTAAAAACCAACTCAGTCAGTAACAATGTTTGTTATTTCAAAAACATGTTTCTGACTGTTCTTACTCTAACTAAAGAAACAACTAAAAGCATTTCAGCAAAACCAGCGAAAAGTAGAACTTGTGAGAACACTGTAACTCTCACGACACTGTCATCCGCTCAACCTGTTTTTTACTGGGTTTGCTTTTAGTTCAGCTTTTAAAGTTTTAGCGTTATTCAACAGCCATTAACCAACAGACTACAGTAACTAGTAGGAGCTACTCTAAAACAGATCTTCGTTTATTAATGCAAAGTGACTAAACCAGCTATGGACAGAAGTGGAACACTTTTCATTAGCTGTGGTTTACATTTGGCCAAGATTTTTTTTTTCTTCCTTTCAGAGTTCCTCACTATTCACAAAATGATGGAAAACATAAGCTTGTATTTTAGTATTTCTGGGAATGCAGGAGAGAAAAGCTGAAACAATAACCTTGAAAATTAATCAGAAGGTATCAGATACTATTTTGCCAGTGTAAATCCTTTGTTCACGTAATTCTGGCATACCGTGTGCAGTTCTGGTCTCCCTAAAAAAAAACATGGTGAAAAAAAAGAGAAGGTACAAACAGGGCAACTAAAATCACCAATGAGTTGTTGACCTTATGAGAGGAAATTGAAAACACTGACTCTCCAATCTGGAGAGAAGAAATTAAGATGTTGACAGACAAGGTGAATGCAGAACTGCTGCATTCAGTAAATCCCACAAAACTGAAACTAGGATTCACTCCGGGAAACTACTAGATCATTCAAAACAAATATAGCAAAAGCTTACTACATGGAGGACAGGAATCTTGAACTTTCTGCCACAGAGCACTGCACATAAAGAGAGCATGAGCACATTCAAATGGAATCAAACCGATGGCCTACACAGCTACAGAATGATACTAAAAGACAGAATCAGGAATTCAGCCTACAACAACCTTTAATACAAGAGGTGTGGACGTTGGCAGAGTACACCTGCATAAAGCAACAAGGTCTGACTGCTTTCTGGAAGCCCCACCTCCTACTGCTGCTGTTAGACCAGAGCATAGTCTGTATCTGTGTCTACCAATTTGTTACGTGTATTCCTCTGTATTCTCTAGAATACATGGACATCTTTAAAGAGAGATCACGCTGGTACTTCAGCAACTGAATTCCAAGGTTTCTATAGGTACACGCTGATCTGCTGACTTTTTACAGCCTCTCTGCTTTACGCATCTAAGGTCTATTGGCTTTAAGTCTCTAACGTCTTAAGGCTCTAAGGTCTACTGGACTATTTCCATTCATCCAAGAGGGAATTGTCACCATAAAGTAAAATTTTTCTTTTTCTGTCTTTCTCCTTTTTTTATAGTGACCACAGTCTGATTGCCATTATATGATATGTATTCAACAGTAGAAGATTAAGTGCAGACAAGTGAAAGATGACACACACGTCTGTTTCTCTGGTCTTGGTCTTCTGGTCCACAGGGAAAACAAGGTAAAACAGGATTTCTGTCCTGACACTAGCAGAAAGTTTATCTTCCACAGAGATTTCACTTACCAAAGAGTGGTAACAGCCCAATATGTTAACAGATTTTATTCGACAAGTAGAAGCAGCAGGTACTTAACCCACTACTCTGAATTCTTTTAGTGAAGTGCCCTTTTATCTAAGCCCTACCCATGTGGAAAGTTCAGAGCTCTTAACAGATCAGTCTCCCTGAGTGCTGCAGAAACTGAAGGGTGGTAGGATGTCCTGGTAGATCCATAGGCAGTTCCAGGATGTTGAACTAAGGCAGCTGTCAGAGAAGCAGGAGTTGCTTTTCCATTCAGCCTTTTCCATGAAGTACTTTTGAGAAAGATCAAATAACAAAACAGAGCCTGCGTTATCACAGTTCCTGTTTCACAGCTGCTTCTTCTTCTTGACAAAGGTCCGTTCTCCATTACAAGAAAGTTATTGATATCATCTCTGCTATTTTACTCTGGATAGAACAAATAGATCTGGGCCCTTCTGAGCCACAAGTGAAGAATATGTTTCCTGAAATATGAACGAAGTTTCTCACATTCTCTTTCCATTGTCCCAGTTCAGTACAGAAATCAACACAGCCTTGACTAATCCTTGGTCTGGAGCACAGCATTATCTCTCAACACCCTTTGCTATTTGAGCCGCCCTGGATGTTTAAAGAGAACTGCAATACTTCCTTAGGCTTGAACTTGGTCACAGTCTTGTTTCCCTTATGAGAATTACCACACTAAAAGTCTGCTAAAAACATGTAAAAACCCCAACTTGTTAGCATATTGTACAGGCTGTCAGAACAATTGTACACTCTGCTATTTTTTTACAGCTCTCCCTCAGGGTTCATTCCTGTAACAGTAACATGCTCCAGATATTTTTCTCCACCTGCTGGAGAAACAACTACTTGAAGACTGAGACAGCTGTATTCCTTACAGACAAATCAAATTTCTCTGGCTTTATAAATTACTGTGATCAACTGCCATAGCTGTCTATGTTTATACTCTTAGCCAAGAACAAGACAGTGCAACTCTGCTAAGTTCATCAAGAAGTAAGACTTATGAACCGTATCATTTCCTGGCTGCTGTAATCTAGAAACAGCAGTGCAACTCCACTGGCCTGTATCAACATGTTAAGCCACAGTATCACGACAGCATGCAAAATCTCCCAGTGCACTTCCATTTCTTCCATTGGAGAAAACAGAATTCGTTGTCTATAAACAGACGTGGAAGAAGGTTTTGAGGAACGAAAACCAGATTTGGAAAGGGACAGATCATTTGTTGTCTTCCATCCTCTGTTTTTTCAAAACAAAGTATTAGACTCGCATTCAAAACCGGCATTCATACATATTTGGGGAATATTTCGGAAAACTTTACAATGACATTTCTCATCTATTGAAATAGTTTTAAACAACTCACTTGAAATTGGATTATTCTCTCCTGAGAAAGGCACAAATACATTCTCTCAGTGTCTTTAAGGTAAAATGCACATTTATGGAGCTGTGATACTGGATCATCTGCATCCAATAACGCTGTTTGTTTATCTACTTTTCGAATTATCTGTGAATGAAAATTGTACATATATTTAGGACAATTTCTGTACTTCATTACATTGGAGAATACATATGTACTGTTAGTAAAGAAAGTGAAAGGTCTGGTTTTTTCTTTATTTCCATGCCGCCTGTTTTAATACCAACATTAGATTCATAATTCTCAATGCTTCTGAAACAAGAACACAACACTGAAGTGACAATACTACAGATACTACAGCTTCAATGTGCTGCATGCACATATATTTTATCTTTCTTGCTATAAGAGTGGGGAAAAAAACTCGAAGCTTCAGCAAAATGTACTTTTGTTCTATTTCCTGGTACAAAAGAGCAGTAAGTCAAGTATTAATAGACTTCTGTAGAAGCTTCCACCACTGATAGCGACAACAACACTCTGGTAGACTGGTTGCTGAACAAGGACAGTGGAAAATAAAAAAAATAATGTAAAGGTATTTAGATGTCTTTAAGTATAGTTTTGCAAGCACAACAATCATAGCATACCCTAACAATAGCTGGTCATTAAATATCACTTAAAGACAACTGCAAAGAACAATTGTTCCTTATATCTGGCTGTTCCGTGAAAAAATATCTGCTGACTTAATTCAGGGCCGTTGTATTAATTTATTTTTGAAAATTAAAAAAAGTTATTCCCTTACAGACAGTGGAAATTTGTAGCTTGGAATTTTAACTCAACTTCTAGAAAAAAATTTAATACTTCATTTTATGCAACATCAGCAGAAGCAGCAGCCAAAGTGCTTGAAGATTTCTAAGTCGACAATCAGAAAGCCAACCATGGCCTCTGGGATTTCTAATGGTAATAAATGGCATTATTAGCAATACAAGTTTCAAGGTAAACTTGTTTTTCCAAAGTTCTTTGCACTAACCTATAAAATGACTCCAAGTTACCTTTTAATTGCATCACCTGTAAATCGGTCTCATAAGGCAGCATGACAAGCATTCCCAATAGCAAACAAAACAGGAACCTCTAGTCTAATTTGGTTTAATATTTCTACCTTCACATAAATATGTTTTAATATTTCTACCTACACATAAATATGATTTAATATTTCTATCTACACATAAAGTTTCTGGAATCATAAATGATGGCATCTCTTTTTGGCAATATTATTAACATGAAGCCCACAAATGAAGTGAGATCTTCTTACTGAACTTCATGTGAACTGAACCAGATCAGTAGTAACCAGATTTGGATTCTTCCGTCAAATAATGTGATTTAAAAAAAAAATAAAAATGATCATATACCTTTTGTTCTGAGCAAGCTATCTCCTTTTTTAGCTAAGTATGATATTGAGAGAGAATTTCTCATTACAGTCATAGTAAAAGAAGTTTGGGAAGGGGAACAACAACATGCCTGCAGGGAAGGTTGGTTTTACATTGGCGCATTCTAAAAATTGTTCCTAGTTAAAAGTGGAATTAGCAAAACCTTGTATGAAATTCCCAATGGGCTGACAAACCCCAATTTGACAGAAGATCTCATATGAAGCATTGTTTACTATCAGTCACATAAAATTCAATTTAGACTGGCATGAAATGCATAAAACAGAAGGAAAAAACTAGATCTATAATTATACTTAGATTTATTTATTAGAACCGTTACTGTGTATCCAGAAATTTTTTTTTCCCATTCACAAACCTTAACCAGTTATAAACAATTTTGCATCTTTTGTCACCATCTCCCACAGCATTCTGCTAGAGCAGCTGGC